AACCTATACTCAACATCTTTTAAAGTTTATGCCAAAGAGCCCATCCTATTATGTTCCTTGTGTAACACATACATTAAAGAAATGAAAAAAAAAAACAATCCCAGAATATCGTCTGAAGATGAAAAGGCATAAGTACTTGGAAATGTAGGAACAGCACCTTAATTTTTAAATCACAAAATGTTTGTTTTTTTAAAAGGCCAGCAAAGCATGGCTTTTTAATTATTCTATTCTTTCTAATTCTCTGTTTAACTGGGATATTCTATCAAGATTAACTAACTAATCCACTTCCACTGAAGTTGCATTTCTAAATTAACCAGCAGGGAAAGTGTTTGTAGAACTGGCACGTCCACTCAGTTTATAGGTTTATAGGAGTAACTGCTTATAGGTACAGAATATGTGTGTATGTTCACATTGGAAAGCAGATTATGGTCTTTACAGCTTCACAAACAACACAAATCACCCCCTCACACTGCTTCATTGGCCTCAATTAGCTGTGTCCCTGATATGAAACATGTGGACTCCTCAAAGCCTCATTTATGAGGTGGTTGTTTGTGTAGCTCATTAAAAAGTGAGTAAACCCACAGCGGAGCAGAGGGGAGCATCTGGATCAGCCTGACAACCGGCAGCAGGGATGTGAAGCTCTGGCCACTGTAGCTGATGAGAAATCATATTTCCTGGTTCTGCTCAGCACGCTAAAGCATCCTGCACAACATACGGCCAGTGCATCTACAATACTGCACTGTACTGTATTTTCTGATAACGGTGCGACTGAAATGCCACAAATTGAATAAATCCTTATTACACAGAAAAGGCATTTTTGAATTCAACCCCTGAGCTCTAAGTCATCACTGATGATGATGCCAACCCTGCACGGTCAGAGTTCACGGACACGTGAAAGAGCCAGGTTTGCCCTTCTTTAAATCCAGGTTGGGTTTAGTCTCTATGATGGCTTATACCTGCGAGAGTTAATACTGTCCACAGTTTTATATTTGTAGTTTTAAATGATCACAAACGTGATCAGAACCAAACAACAAAAGCTCTATGTTCGTGTAACGGCAAGTGTACGTGGTTTTTGTGAGTTTTTGAGACCTCTACATCATCACTGTGGGTTTTTCCCATTGAAAAAGTGAAATGCATTGCAAATACATTTTAAGCAATACATCCAGACCCACTGATGGATCATTCTAACACTGCTGAGGGACAAATCAGAAAGAAAGAACAAAATCAGGGAGTAAGATCTCAGAGTTTGATTTATTCTGACGTTAACCCACATCTTAATACAATTTCTCATTACAGCCTGGATCCTATCACCACTCTGTCTCATCTCTACTGAGTGCTCTGCCACCTCTTATTGTGTCTCTCAGCGCCTCCTTTGTTGACACTCTGTGGCCCAGTCTGTCTCGTTTACCCCAACCGGCTCCGCAGGCCTCAGCTGTCGACCGTTAGTATTCCTGCTGCCAAGGCAGGGGACCACAGGGAGCCCTGGCGGCCACACAAAGTCTCTCTCTCACACACACACACACACACACACACACACACACACACACACACACACACACACACTTAGACTTGAACAGCCTTCACCTTCCTCATCTGGCATCCCTCAGGCATCGGCTGATTCTGTGTTTTGTGCATGTTTGTTGATGAGCTCGAGCTGCAGCGACAGACTAATAGGCCAGGGATTTTCATTCTTGCTCATTTGGTATTTTGTCCATTATTTTCCCCTTCTCATTTCCTTCACAGTAATGTTTTAGCTCTAATACATGGGCTGAATTATTGATGAAGCTGCCACCCTCCCCCTCCCCCCATCCGTCTGGGCAGAGGGACAGAAGAAAGGGAGGGAGGAAGGGATGGATGAGTGGAGGAGACAAGGTTAGAAGGAGTTGGAGGATGGGTGGGTGGATGGGGGAAACTGGACCAGAGACTGATGGATGGATGGATGGATGGATGGATGGATGGATGGATGGATGGATGGATGGATGGATGGATGGTGTACAGAAGGACTGGACTGTCAATCTGTCTGCCCCCCAGGATGCCCAGCAGACCATGTAGGCAATGTTTACTGAACATGGATCCAAGCCATATGGTGCCACTTCAAGAACACACACAAATTGAGACACACACACACACACACACTTACACACACACACACTTACACACACACACACACTCACACACACTCACACACACTCACACACACACGCGCGATTTTGGGCTAAGATAAATGTAGCAGTCATACTTGTTATACCCAACATGATCTGTGTGGCTCCCCGTCTTGCACAGTTTGGCTAACATACATAAGTAACAGCAACAAAAACAGGTTACAGAGATGGACACTGAGCACTGCAAATGCAAAGAATGTTCTTACTTGAAATAAATGAGTGTATTTAACTTGATCTATAGTGGATTTTGAAGCTTCTGTCACAGCACTGTGTCTGTGACCCAGTGTTTCGTGTGTGCTTAGTCATATTGTTTGATTATAGGTTTTGGTTCTGCTTGTGTTATATTTTGAGTCCTAGGATTTTGGTCTCTTTCCCTTTCTCATGTTCCCTCTGTCTTCCCAGTCAGTCGCGTCTCTGTCTCAGGGTCCAGTCTTGTCTTTGCGATTGTCTCGTGTTTCCTGTTTTACTTTGAAAGTCTTGTCCTATGTCAGTGTATCTAGTTTTGCTCTCTCTTGTCTCCGTATGTCTTATTAGTCCCAGCAGTGTTTCCCATTCCCTCATTAGTCCCTTGTATAGTTAAGTCCTGTGTTTTACTTTGCCCTTTGTCGTGTCGTGCCACTCCCATGTGCTGTGTGCTTCCTCCCTGTTCCTCGTCATCCTCGCTTCTAGCTTCCCAGTATAGTTTCCTACTGTCTTTGTTCCTCGTCCTTAGTTTCTAGTTTTCTGATTTTGGATTTTGTTTTTGCTACAGCTGCCTGTTGAGTTCATCCTTTCATGCCTGCAACCTGACAGCTTCACTGTCTGCACTCTCCTCCTGCACACTGTGTAGTTGTGCACACTTCATTTAATAATTTGTTCCTGATGTTTTTAATCTCTTAACTTCAGGCAGGTCACCAGTGACCTGGGTAAGGTTAGGTTTGGGTCTGTTTTAGCCACATGCTAAATATACAGATTTAAATTACTGGAAGATGATGATGACTTGGAAAGGCTCCTCCAGTTACTGTGTAATTAAATCTGATACGCAGTTTAATATGTTATACCATAAAGCACACATTTCATATGCAGGAGCCTGGCTGTTTGCAGTTGATGACGCTCACTCAACAAATCCCAGAGCAACGCCACCCTGCAGCCCTCCACGCACACGTCACACATCCTCCTCTCTGTCGTGCACTCATGCACACAGTTGTCAACAAAGTTGCAGTTGCATGGTAACGATTACACTGTGGACTGTGTGTTTGACTGCTGCAGTGGAGATTGCGGTTTCCATGTTTACTGTTAGGTTAGGCTGAACATAGCAGTCATCGTTTTGCATTTGAGCTGATGATGCTCTTTAGTCACACTTGCCAAACTCCACCATTACCCAAGGTTTATCCTGGGAACGAGGTGGGAGAGCAGCCAGGACAGCTCATGTGACATCTGCCTATATATTGCACAATGCAGTTGGACAAATCCACAAAGAGCTGCAAATCTCAGAGCTGATCACAGCTCGTCCACACAGAAAACAAATGCAGAGGAGCACGCAGCACAAATTAATTTGGCAATTATTTATAACGAGATCATTTTCCCCAGCGGCAGCGCTCCCACGAGATCTTAGGGTCCACTCACCTGCCAAATCCCACTTTGACTCCTGGTTGTGATCATGACTTCAGTTGTGACATGTTTAGACTTTTTGAGGATATGTGAGGCTTTCTCCTGTGTTTGTGCGGAGTCGAGTGTCAGCTTTAATAGGCCACAGAGTCCGAGACTTGTTAATAAATCTCAGTGTTTAAATGCTGAGCGACATCCACAATCACGCCTCGCCAGCTTCAAACAGAGTGAACTGGGTCCTGTTGTTGTTGTTGATGTGTGTAGCCTGTAACCGAAAAGCTGCAGCCGCGTGTTTAAGTCGACAGCTGCAATAAAGAACTCAGGTTGGGTCTCTCATGCCCCAATCCTGGGTTTCGGCACCACTGTAAACGATGCACGACAGACCCGACCACATGTTCGCACTTTCCAGTACACTTCTTTATTGCGGCCGTCGACTTACACACACGGCTGCAGCTTTGCAGCAGATGCAGCAGATGCTCTTATCATTAACGTAACTGCTGTGAATTTTATGTTCTGCTGTAAAAGTGATTCTGATGTTAAACATTAGTTCTGATGACGTTTTGCCAGGTAACTTGAGGCCCACCTGTCAGAACTCGCCACACACTTTGAGAACCGCTGTTCTAATGCACGATACTGGAGTCGTAAACTGCCGGGGAAGCTAAAAATCTAACCATTGTCTCCTCAGGACTTTTAAGGAAAAGGCAGCAGGATGCTGAAATATTGGGAAGCTGCTGGGAGAACAAAATGCATGGATGATTATACAGGATGCTAACGTCAAAGAATGCTAAAATGTGGGTGTGACACAGTGGAAGGAGCTCAGCAGAAGCACCTGCCTGTTCACCGTGATCATGTGACACCAAATTCAAATTATAACTACAATTTAACTCATGTAGGAAGAAAAATGCAACATCAGCTCCACTCACAGCAAGTTTCCTTTTGTACATCAGCTTTGACGAGCAGCCTCTATGTTTAGCTCGGGAGAGCACAGCAGCAGCAGTGAATCTCCAACCTGAATTTATTTATTTTATTCTGGTGTGTTTAACAGTTAATGTTAAGACACATAATTTAAAGAGCTCCTTTAAAGCAGACTGAAGATAATGAAGAACAACTCAAACAGGCAGTGTGCATATAACACAAGTAATGACTGCAGATAAATGCTGGACTAACTGTTTCACCACCACACGAGAATCTGCCTCATCTCGAAGTTTCACATGTACTCTTATCTCTGACAAAAAAACTGAATTTGCTCACCAAAGTCGGCGAGTTTCAGCTCTCCAGTGTCGCTAATGAGGAGGTTTTGGGGTTTCAGGTCACGGTGAAGAATGTACCTCTGGTGGATGTAGGACAGACCTCTCAGCAACTGGAACAGGAAGAGCTGGAAAACAACCAAAAAACAGGTGAACAGAGGGAAGTGACTCTGACATAACTCTTTACAAACGTTACACTGGACCAAGACGGGCTCTTTTTCTCCATCATGCTTTAACGATTATCCTGATATTTGTCTCTGCCTAAATCTCCATCTTTCTGCTGTAGCAATGACACTGAGCAGGCGTGGAGTGCACAGAGGTGTGGAAAAACCTATTCATCACTGAGGTGCTGGGACTCCCCTCCAGTGCAAGTGAAAACAGGCATGAAGCTTACATGTCATCTAAAAAACAGTAAAGGCACACACAGACACCCCAAAGATCAATGTGGAGCCATCAGTCAAGAACACAGTCGTGCTTCCTTCCACTTGAATTACTGAGGACTGCTGCATTGACTGCTCAGAGCGAGCATATTGAAGTGTTTACACCTTTAATACGACCTTTCCAACACATGAATTGTAGCTTGTATGTTTGATCAATCTGGCTTGATTTTGCTGGTAGTCTATTCGCTATTATGGGAGTTCTTCAGAGAAAGGAGAAGAAGCGACAGAAGGAAAGTGTGGAGGAGTGTGAGATGTGCATGAAATCGCAGCAAACATGCAGAACTGGTTGGAGCTGCTGCCTCCTTTTTTATTTCCTGTAAAGGGTGGGCCAGAGGACTGCTGACAGCACAGAATAAGAGGGCACTATTACACGAAAATCAGTCTGCATTCACCCACAAGGGACATCATTCAGCATCCTTGCTTTGATTTCTTCGTTTTTTGCATATTTGTCAAACTTCAATGTTCCAGATCATCAACACATTTTAATATTAGACAAAGATAACAGTTTAAGGTGATGTTTCATTTATTAAAGCATAAAAAACCCTATCCAACCCTCCACCCTTTGTTCAATCATGAATTTATTGTGATTAGAAGAAAGAAAGAAAGTGTACTTTATTGATCCCCGTGGGGAAATCCCTCTCTGCAATTTTAACTCAGTGAAGCAGTGGGCAGTCACTGGGCGCCCAGGGAGCAGTGTGTAGGGACGGTACCTTGCTCAGGGGTACCTGTTCAGAGGAATCAAACCCCCAACCTTCCGATCATGGGGCCACCACTCTACCTAATGAGCTATCCCTGCCCTGGATAAAACCCCATTTATTTGAAAGCTGAGTGTAACTTCACTAGCCACACCCAGGCCTGTTGAATCAATAAATCCCTTAAATATAACCTGTGTGACAAAGTAGGGTAAACTAAAATGTGTCGAAATGCAACATATCATGCCAGATGATGAACAATGTCACTGGTTACGAAGGTTGCAAAAGCATTTCCAAAGCTTTGGGACTCCACTGAACCAAAGTGAGAACCATTATCTACAAATCTAGAACCCTGGAACAGCGGTGAACCTTCTCACGGGTGACCGGCCTACCAACATTACGCCAAGGAGCATCGACGGCTCATCCAGGAGGTCACAAAAGAACTCGGAACAACATCTGAGTTTTTGACCTTAACTGCAGACGTGACTCACCTCAGTTAAGGTCCAAGTTCATGATTCAGCAGTAAGAGATTGGGCACAAATGACATTTATGGAAGAGTGGGGTGGCTGTAGCTCAGGAGGTAGAGCAGGTCAGCTGCTGATTGGTGGTTCGATCCCCGGTTCCCCAAGTTTGCATACCAAATATCCTTGGGTAAGATACTAACCCCGACTTGCTCTCCGATGCATCCATCGGAGTATGAATGCACAATGAATGAATAACAGTTCGAAAACCTAAATGAATTAAAAGAATTCTGCATAGAAGAGTGGACTAAAATTCCCCCACAGTGATGAGACAGACTCATTGCCAATTATCACAAATGCTTGACTGCAGTTCTTGCTGCCAAGGCCATCACAAGGAGAAGAAAAGCAACCAATACCATGAGATTTCTGCATAAACTTAGGCTCGTCTGCTTATCATTTTTTATACATTTAACAAGGACAATTTTTCTCAAGAAGAAAAAATGATCTGTGCAAATAATGCAGCATGAAGCCAGTTTGTTGAAGCCATTCTGGGCCCCATGAAACACTGATCAGAAGGAGAAAACCATCCAGCAGAGATCTGAGTCATCGCAGGCGTTAGCACTAACCCTATGCCTGGCTAGTGGCACCTGCAACATTTTGCAGAAAGCCCCCAAAAATCCAGAATTTCTTTGGGAAAAATGTGAATAATTTTTCACATGTGTGTCAGTAAGGATGACAATTTTTCATAGACTTGGGAGTCAAATATTCTGATTGTGATGGTGACATGTACCTCAAAGGATTAGCCATGCTCAAGGAATTCATTTATACACACAGCTCACATAACACAATCAAAGTGCAAAGTAGAACCTGATTAGAACTGAGGTTCTACAAATTAAAAACAATATTTGCGCTTCTTTGAAACCACTCATGAAAATGCATGAATGCGCTTTTGCTGACACATTTAAATGCATGTATTTAGAGACACACAGCACCTCAGACTGACAACAGCCCTCATAAATCCCTGTTGCACACACAAAACTATTTTAGGTTTAAATATATACTTACTGCATAAAGTGTATCTGCTGCTGTCAACTAAAAAAAAGCTAATAAGCAAAATCCTAAAAGGACCCAGAATCAAAGCTCTACTGAGCTTGTTTTGTTTTCGCCGCTGAGATGCTCAGATCACCGCCCCCCTCCCCCTCTGCAGACGTGTCAATCAAGACATAATGAGGTGTGCGCGACGCAGCTCTTCATTTTCTTCCAATTTCAGCATTCCTCTGTCATTTCTCCCCTCTCACTGATACCGTAGTCTTGGCCAATTAAGCTGATTGAAGCACCGTGCAGTCCAATCAGGGACGGGGCCCTGTCTGGCATCTGGAGTCACCGGGTCAACAGTTTACTATTCCTGGACTCGGTGGGTGAGAGATGAACCGCAGTGCAGAAAATTAGCATGGGAAATGTGTTTACTCATGTATATCAAACGCACTTGTGAAAAGCCCTCTCTCTGTTAGGAGCACAACTGCACGGTAACAGAAAAGAAAGAGAAATCTCTCTTTTATTCTCACATCAATTCACACATCAAACACTCCTAAAAGGAGACTTTTTTTCTCCTCTCTTTTCTTGCTTGGCTTTGAATGGAAATACCTCGGGTCCATTTGCATTCTAATATCTAAGGGAGAGTGAAGTGCTGAGGGCCGTTATAGGAGGTTGCTCTGACAGTTCTGACAGTAATAATAACAATAATACTCAAGACAGAACAGTTTTCCTGTTAAACTACGTAGATCCTCCTAATAAGTGACCACATGCAGAGAAGGATTTTAGTCACCTTTACGTGTGGTCAGCACGGTGAACGTTTGGCTCGCTGATAGATGGCCCGTCAAGTTTACCTGAGTATAGTGCACACATCCATCTAGGTGAATGATTTGAGAGGAAGCGAGCAGCTGAGGGTGTGAGAGCACGGACACGGCAAAGCGACAAAGGCAAACAAAACGACACACAATAAGAAATGTAGAACCAAATTAGTAAGAGTGTGCCGATTAACGTCACGCCCATCGCTTAGAGTATTGGTCCTGCTTTCTGTCTAACATTGATCTGCCTCTGAAACCATTTACAGTTCCTGCTTTCTTGACTTTGTGCAGCACTCCATCATGAGTGAGGGTCGCGAGCTTGTACAATATGTATACATCAGAGTTAAGGTCTGATATAGATGATAGATACTCGGTTTTCAGTACTATGAGCACTGTATTAACTAACTAATACTAATACACCTGCTAATACTACTCTTAGGACTAACCTGTGAGAGTTCTTATAGTTAAGTACTTGGACGATGATGTCATTTCTGTAATTTTGGCTCTGTGCAGCACTGCAGTGAATTTGAAACCAAACAATGACTTTCCATTCTGTTAATATTGCACCAACTGTTTTGGAATTACAGCGCCTATTTTAAGGGGCCTGAAAAAAATTGGACAACTTTTCAGAATCATAATAAAATGATTCTGATGCTTTAGTACACGCACACAGAAAACATCGAAAACAATGACGCTGTCTGTAAAAATCACTCCCATTACTCTCCAGCTTCACCCTGTCGCAGCAAAGCAACATCATTTTAAACTCAGGGACTGGAAATTTCCCACTGCGGTGCATTCTGGATCTTGGCCTTTCTCCCAAAGCTGGTAAGTGTAGAGCACTGTACTTTTGGCTTTTTATATTTTTAAATTTTTTGGATGCTGTGTCCTATGATCTGTACTCTACCAGTACAACTTAACGGCCACTTTGACATTCAAAAAGTCTGGCTGTGTATCCAAGAAACATTCCCTCGATAAGACGGTGTTACCTGTGTGCTTCTACGGCAGAACGAGCTGACGATACAGATCAGAAAAGAGCATTCTGAACATTTTGTCCATTCACATGTGAAACAAAGACCTCTGAAGTCTGTGTAAGGGCTGGAAGAAGCAGTGACCTAATGGACTCGTCTGATAAAATAGGGCACTTTCAGAGAGTCCAGCTGTTTTCTTGCATGAATAACCAAAATGTAAACGTTGCCTTGGCGATAATGTTTTAGTTCATCAGTGTCATTTTTTTCTCTGAAAAGAAAAAAGCCCTGCAGGTGTATGAGACACTCTGCTTAATCATGATGCATTATTAGTCCCGAACTGCAGGAGAAATATGCCGTGTGATCATAGTTAAATCAGCCATTAACATAATCCATCACCTGAGGAGTGACCCTACTGCCTGAACAACAATCCATCATCAGCACACCAATAAACACTCTGCTTTTTTTCTAATGATGAAACACTCACTGCCATCACACCCAAGGCAAGCACAACTCTCTATCAAGATAAGAAATATGAAAGAATGTAAGAATTGAATTGCTTCTGTGTTATCTATCAGCTGAATGGAGTGGAGTCTGCCTGCTTTGTCTAATATTCATTGTGCAGCAAAGCACGAGGCAATATATCAAAGTGACAGCAGTACACTGGGGTTCATCGTTAGCTTCACAGATTCACTGGGAAAAACAAAGTAAAGCAGCTCAGGA